TTTTCTTTCTTGCTATTGTTTCTAACGTATTTATAATGTACCATGTAATTTTTTTTGTTGCTTTGTATGTTCCTCCCCCACGGTATAACCCCTGTTTTCACTGTATTTAATGTTGGTGCCCTGCATCTTATATATACACTTTTCTAATTCGGGGAGGTGAAGGGAAAAAACAAAATGCCTAAATAAGGACACAGGTTGATCCATTGTACAATGAGATGTTCAAAACACTGTTGAAAACAAGCTCTACAACTTCAGTGGGGGGAAGTGGGGAGATGGTGTTTGGGGGATAGTTGTGGAGGTGAGAGGGAAAGGATGGTAGGGGGAAAAGAAAGGAGGAGGCAACAATGCTCAATAGGAAATGTACTCATTACCTTGCTCATGTAACTGTAACCCCTCTGTATAGCATTTTTTACGATAGAAAACATGTGTGTATATAATATATAAATATATATATGCATATATATATATATATATACACACACACACACACACACACACAATGACTCAGAATTTCACAACTAAGATTCCCAAGGAAGTGCTTCTCAGGACTCTCAGGTAGGTGGAAATGAATGGAAACTTACACTGGCTTCTCCAGGCTTGCACTCCAGAACATCTTTCAGTGACTGCAGGGAATGCAGGATACACTGCTCAAACTGACATGGCTGAGGGAAAAAACAATGACAAAACAAAAATGAAAATAAACTAAAACTTAGTTTCAGCTAAGCAGGCAGTAAATGCCCATCAAAAAATAAAAATATTGCTCTTTAATTCAAAACTACACAATGGCTATTAAGATATAGCCATTGAAGTTAGTATGGCCAAACATTCTAAATTTTCCAGATTTGTGAGAAGTAACAGTGATACAAATAACCTGACAAGTATCCTGAAATCAATAATTTGGAGATGTGCACAGGATTTACACTTAATTATTGTTGATAATTATGAACTGAAGGATGTGCAAGATCTTTAAGTCAAATATGTCACTGTAGTTATTTACTATATGTAGTAAGTCAGAAAAGGAAACTTGAAAATAAGTCCAACCAATGATACCTCAAGATCAGCTTAACTGTATCCTAATATGATCAGAAGGTTAAACTTCCTATGTTGAAATTTTTTAGTTCTATGTAGTATAACATGAGAGTGAGTGAGACAGGTAAAGTTTCCATTAAGAGCTTATTCTAGGTGGTGAAGACAAACAGGGAAATCACAATCAAAATTAGTATGAAAAATAAACTGCACTAGCAAAATGCAATATGCATCATGAAGAAAAAAAAGTGAAACTAGGGGAAAAAAAGGTACTGAAGATCTATTCTATATAGGTCACAAGAACATAGAAGTTGAAGCTAACAGGGAGTGAAGGAAGTAAGAAACCACAAGGATGGAGGGGCCACAAAGGGAAGTTAGCCAAAACTTCAGGAAACGAGCATGGATGCCAGAGATGGGGTTAGGGACCTGAAATTTGTTCAAGGGACACTGGGGAAGGGGAAGATCAGTGTTTAACCAACCAGCTATATGCCAAACATCTAGAGTGAGAACTTCTCAACATACATATCCATTTTTCTTATAAGGTTGGGGGAAAAAATAAAGGCAATGACATCTGTCTCTGTATTTAAAAAGTCAAATCTATTTTCTGCCCAATAAGTCTTGAATTTAGGTAAAATAGTGCCTGGACTTCAATGTCATCTTACTACTGCATTTTGAAGTCACCAGAAGTACTATATAGAATATTTATAAGAGAATATTTATAAGAGGAGATAGTGTATAAGATAAAATACTTTAGAGTCATTACTACTCATCAGTGCCCAGTATGTGTATGGCCTTACCCATAACACTACCATAAAGACAAAAAAGTATACAAGATGACATTATTCATATGACCTATCTTTCTTACTAAGGACAAAAATGTAAGATATTAGAACACAGCAAAAACTATAATATCAAGACTAAATCCAGATTTCAACTGTGGATATTAATGTTTATTTATGTCCATTGGATTTCTTGTATTAAGATTAAACTAGACTTTAAAATTTTTATACCACATCAACAGAGTGATAAGACAAGGAATACTGGAAAGCTCATTCACTGAGCAGTTTCAGCTAAGTAGGGAGTGAATGAAAAATCTAAGTAACTGCCTTTTCTTCTCAATAGAAACAACTATCTCTGTGTGTTATCGGTGAATCATCCAATTTAGCTGACTACAATAACTTATCAAAATCATCCCAGTTCTTCTGAAAGAAGAAAATTCTAAGAATTATCCAAATTGAAAAACAGGCAAAAAACAATCTCAACATGAGAAGAAAACAGGATGCTTTCCAGTGAGAAGCACCATGGTGAAGCTCTCTAATCATAAAGATAACACTTCAGCAGAAAGGACAGTCATGGTGACAAAGCTGGAGACCCACCTCCCTCATGTGTAGGAGTGCTTCCCTCTCCCAGTCACAGGGAAGGGATTAATTGTCTTAACCTCATCCCACACAGACTGGATCAGCTTAGGTTAAGAAGTCATTGTTCCAAATCTTAGAATTTTAAATGTTGATCAGGTTAAACTACACAGAGCTGAACTGTAGACTTGTGTTCTATGTTGAGTACCTTCCATGGGCTAAAACACTTAGTAAAGGAGTATCAAGCCCAATGTTGGCTTCTTTCTTCACAGGTTGACTAGAAAATGTCTCTGCTGACTCCAGATGAACTACTTCTTGTGAGTTATTTCTTCCCCCTTTCTTTCCTGCACATACTTAATGTGACATGTGTATGAATACAAACATGAAATTATTTTGTGGTTACAACTGCATTAAGATGGTCAAACAAACAAGTTTCTTTAGTAATTATTCCAGTCATTTTCACAGAGGCTGATAACAGGCAAATCAGTAGTCCTGGGTAATGAAGCTCTCAAGATCACTCAAGCTGGAATGACACACACACACTGAGGCACTGACCCAAGGACTTAAAGTCAATGTCTGCTTTGTAGTGATGACTGATCTGCTTTGTAGTGATGACTGAATACATGTCAGACATTTCTATATGTATAGATATATATATAAAGCCATATATCTCTATATATACAATTAATTAAATAGAACCGTGGCAACTCAGACTTAGTAACATTTTTGCATAAAACTAATTTGAGGAAAGCTTCATTCACTGGGCATTAAAGTCACCTAATGTCTCATTTCCCACACCTGTCCACACTTGGGGTACATTATTAAATGGATGATGGCCCAAAGACATGTTTTTCTTCTGTCCTTCAAGCTTGCTAATGGTAATCAAGAAAGGCTCTCAGAAATAACGTAAAATTAAGGAATAATCATGATAGCCAAGTTATTGCAAGTATTAATTTAACTAAGAAAATTGTTTATGTTACACAAAGTTTTGTAGCTTATACACTTTAGTGCAGAGCACCACATTTAATGCTGAGGTAAAACACTGTGAAGCCATGTTGTGCTTTTTTTCAAGAAAACCTGTGTCAAGACTGCAGGGCTTCTATGGGATAGGCTCTGGTACTCAACTCTAACACACTCATCTTGCTCTGTCTAACACTAGGTAACATGGGCCACAGATTTAGTTCTAGATTTTCTAGTAACTATTTTAGAAAACTAAAAAAAGAAATTTTAACACAATTCATTTAATGCAAACTACGAAATATGTAATCAACTTGAAATTAATATTAAAAAGTTGAGGTATTTTACATTTAATTTTTTTATACTGCTGTAAGGTGTTGCATAATTATCTCTAAGGAATTAGTGAGTGAATTAATACAAAACAGTTTTTACTTAAATACAAAAAATTGTGACAGTCAATGAAACTACTATTTAAATATCCTTTAAATAGAATTATAACACATTTATTAAAAATACTGAACTTCCTAGTTTTCTTTTCTTATATTAGGCAAAACTCAGAAGTTCTTGCTAAGGAAAGACAGAAACTGGAAACAGACACTTGTTCTGCTGAAAAACCGCCATTTCCCAGCCTCTGCTGCTAAGGCTGTAGACATGTGAATACAGTCTGGACAACTATACCTGAGAAAAGTGAGCTGTGGTTCATGGGCAGGGTGACCCAGGTAGAAGCCAGTGGCAAAAGGGTGAAAAGACAGAGAAGAATGGGGAGTCCTGGGCACAGGCTGCATGACTGAGCTGTTATGCCAGTGTGAGAGATAAGAAAAAGTGAATCTCTGCTTCATGTAAGGTAACAAGTGACTCACCCACCTACAGGATTGTTGGGCAAACTTGTAAGCCAGGTTAAAAAATATGAAAACTACTTTCAAAGGTATCTGGAAATCCTAAAATTCATCTGAAAAGATGAGGATTGTGGAATGAATCATCACAATGCTAGGTGCTGCCCTACCTATGAAATTATCTGTAGATTGCACTTGTTTTGTTCTTGTTTAAACTCAGAGACCACAATATCAGTTCTTTTGTCTCAATTTTATATATATATATATATAAAAATATTCAATTAAGCACAGTGTTGTTGAAAAACAACACAAGCAAGAGCAGTGATACAGGATGATGATAATTACTCTAAATAAAAACCACTATTTTCACTATTTTTTAAATACCTTATTAGCATTACACAAAAACGATTTTGAGAGGGCTGGGAAGGTGGCTCAGTGGTAGAGTGCTTGCCTTGCATGCATGAGTCCCTGGGTTCAATTTCTAAGCACCACAGCAGAAAAAGCCGGAAGTGGTGTTAGTAGAGCACTAGCCTTGAGCTGAAGAGCTGAGGGACAGCACCCAGGCCCAGAGTTCAGGCCCCACAACCGCCAAAAAAAAAAAAAAGATTTTGAGAAAATCTGTAAGAAACTTATTTTCTATTCCAGAAACAATTCAGAATTGTACAGCAGAAACCATTCTGTGTTAATATACATTTAATAATGGAAAATAATTTAAACTTACTAGGGAAGTCAATCCTTCATTATCAACAATCCAGTCCTCCTTTTCAGCTAATCTCTTTATTTCTACAGGAAAACAAGCAAACAAGTATTTTATTATAATCATTGCACTGTAATTTACAGAGATAAAATTATATAAAGGTCATGTTTTTTAATTATTTATGAAGGTTTGTAAAAAAATTGGTATAAGGATAGAGCACAATTTTAGTACACTTGAGGCTTTAAAAGTATATTCTTCACTGTATTTTTCTGCAGGTGAACTCATTGCAACAATGAGACGTACAAGTTATGTCAAAAACGAACTTTACAACTTTGGTGGGGGCAGGAGGAGGGTGGGGGGGTAAGGGGAAGGATGGGATGGGAAGGGGAAACAAAGGAGGAGGCTACAATGCTTGATAAGAAATGTACTCATTATCTTGCCCATATAATTGTAACCCCTCTGTACAGTATTTTCACAATAAAAATAAATAAACAAATAAAAGTGTACTCTTCACTGTATTCTAGTAAAACTGGACAGCCCAATTCTAAGCTAAACTTAATGTAAAATAATGTCTTCTTCATATTATCAGGAAGACATGCACATAAGGGCTAATATTTCTTCTTTGAAATTTTTTTTTCTTTTTGTTTATGTGGTGCTGAGGAATCGAACCCAGGGCCTCAGGCATGCAAGGCAAGCGCTCTACCACTGAGCCACCTTCCCAGCCCATCTTCCTTGAAAACTTTAAGGAACAATTTAGATTCTCTTTGAATCCCCTCAGCACAATTCTCACTTAGCTAAAGAATTAGCACCTGCCCATAAAACATGGCAGACTGGCTTAGATTTCTGAGGGGCTTGGGAGAGAGCAAAAAAATGTCAAAATAAGAAATATATCTATAATTTCTTGTAACTATTAAACCACTGCTAATGGTCTTTCTTCCAATTTTACACTGAATTTTTCTATATTAAAAAATTTAAGGAGATGGGAATGTGGCTTAGTGTTAGAATGCTTGCCTGGCATGCATGAAGCCCTGGGTTCAAGACTTCAGTACCACATAAACAGAAAAAGCCAAAATGGCACTCTGGCTCAAGTGGTAGAGTGCTAGCCTTGAGCAAAAGAAGCCAGGGACAGTGCCCAGGGCCCTGAATTCAAGCCCAGCACTGGCAAAAAAATATATTTTTTTTTCCAAAAATAAGTTTCAAACTTTATGTGAATTTTATATCCTACCTTTTCTACTTATAAACTGCCTTATAGTCTTATTTTCAAATACACTCATCTTAATTTCTGCATCATTTTGCAAAATTTGTTTCAAGGATCTGGAACCTGGAAAGAGATGATATATTCAGACAACTACTCTCCAGCACATATCATCAATTTTCTTTAACAGACCTTCTGCTGTGTGTTGCAATGTGACCATGATACAACGTACACGGAGATCCAAAATAAGGTCCTGAATAATCTGCAGCATGTCATTAGGAATTTCAAGGGCAGTCAATGACTCATAAGTAAGCCTATGGAGCAAACACAATGAAACAAAAGTGAGCAGGTGTGATCTCAAAGCAGCTCCCATCATCATTTCCCTATGCTGAACCTATGCCTTAAGAAGCACAGAAGCTATAACATTAAGTTGAAAACAGGCAGAATGAGATCATAATTAGGACTATAATGTACCATAATACTGAGCTAAGCAATACAAATAATGAACATATTAGATGCTGAAAACACCAGTAAAGCTTAAGAGTTTCATTGTTAAAAGACAAGTAAGAAGTAGAGGTAGAGAAGGCAACAGGACAGAGAGGAGGGTTAGGTGAACTTTCATCTTTATTATATACCACACACTGAAGGGGTTAAAAACAACAATGAAAAAATTTATCCTTTTTGTTGTGTCCACATTTACCTTAAGGTCTGGATGACATGTGCAAGCCACTGCCCTGAGAGCTCTGACTTCACCTCCCAGCCTCCATACTGCCTCCCCTCTCCCTCTCGGATGCTGAGGGGCAGCAGAGCTCCACGGATCAGTTTCACAAGAGAATGCATTACTTCCTGTATCATTTTCTAGGAAGTAGAGAAGCAAAATTGCATTAAAATGTCATCAATCTGGTTAAATTAAACAAAAGATATATGTTGTCATTCAAAATCCCTATCCTGTGAGAAAGTAGACACACATAACTAACTTACCTTGAAATCATTTTGTCTTTGCCTTACATTCTTTGATCTTTCGATCTGGCCTGACTTCTCAGCAGTCTTAAAGGTTGAAACACAAAATAAAACATATTAGCTGTCTTTTAGAAATAATTTCGAAAACTAAGAAATGGCTTAGTACTTCTATATAAAAATATTAAATATAACTTGATTAAATGAAATGTTTAAATTACATTCATGGTTATATTTAGAAAACCTTTTCTTATTTCAACAAGAATTCATCTTTCTAAAACCTTTACATAAAAAGAACTGGGAGAGGGCTGGGAAGGTGGCTCACTGGGAAGGTAGAGCACTTGCCTTGCATGCATGAGGTCCTGGGTTCGATTCCTCAGCACCACATATGCAGAAAAAAAGCCAGAAGTGGTGCTGTGGCTCAAGTGGTAGAGCACTAGCCTTGAGGTAAAGAGCTGAGGGACAGTGCCCAAGCCCAGAGTTCAGGCCCACAACTGGACCCCCCCAAAATTAAAAATAACAAAAAAAAAAGAAGTGGGAGAGATGGCTCAAGTATAAGCACCTTTTCGGCAAGCTAGAGACTCTCACTTCAATTCCTACCACTAGGCAGGTGTGGGGAGCCAGGAGCCAAAGCCTAAAACCTTTAGGTATATTCCCATAAATAAACTTAAGAATTGGGGGAGGGGGGTGGGAGGGAGGATGGGAAGGAATGGGAAGGGGAAACAAAGGAGGAAGCTACAATGCTTGATAAGAAATGTACTCATTATCTTGCCCATGTAATTGTAACCCCTCTGTACAGTATTTTCACAATAAAAAAAAACAAAGGAAAGCTACCAATTTTGAAGGTGAATTTCATATACCATTTTAATCAATTCCCTACGGTTAAACCATTATATAGCATACATATGGTGGCATTTCTTATTAGCTAGTCAAAACACCAACAACAGCAGTAACTTGGAAATAATGTGAAGCGATCTTAGAGTAGCCAATCCATTTCCTTGGTAAACACAATATAGGCATCAAATATGCTGTTGTTTTATTTTTTTAGAAAGTATAAATCATTCTCTTTTTGATTCTTCTTTCATGGATTTTATAGTACAATTTAGGACAGGATATATTCTGCTGTTCTAAATTAGGGTTGTTTTGTTTAGGGTTCTTTTTTATTTTTATTTTTTCCTATTTACTGATATGAAAAGTGCTATCTTTTCTTATATAGATTAAAGTAGAGATCTGTTTAAGTGGACTTCATTTAGCTTCTAATTCAGGAATAGTCTAGTAACCAATTATTTTCATGTAAAATATCCTAGAAGCACAATCTTAAAATCTTTCAAAATCAACAAAATTATGTAACAGAAAGTCTGACCTAAGACTGACATAAAGCAGAATTTTTCTCTTAAACTTAAAACCTTCATTGGCTACTGATTAGGCTAAAACATATCAAGACTCTTTTCAAGTTAAAAGGAGTCACACTGTAAATGATTATGATATTGATTTTAAGTTAAAATATTTACATATGCATATATATTAAAAATAATGTAAAGAAATCAGGTGGAGTGTTGGTTTATATACTGATTATTATGGATGAAAATGAGTAAAAGAATAATTCTATTGTTAGGTGTTATCAACAAAAATATCAAACATCTCTGAAAAACATCAGTGTATATATTCCTATCCTTAAACTCTATACTTAATCATGTTTTAATAACATTAAACTGCTGTACAGTTTAATGATATTAAACTATATTACTTGTTTCTCTGTATAAATGCACTTTTGCTTGAAACTATTAAAAGTATGTATAAAAAATTAAACTTAAAATTCACTATGGGAAAGCTAACTCCCAAGTTTACTAGCCAGTGACTCTAAATTCTTTTAAAAGGGTAAATTTTTTCCTCTTTTATTGTTAAATGAATGAGAAAGTGTTTTAAGCATGAGAGTCATGATTTGTCCTTAATGAGGAAGAGGGCAGAGGGCCAGCCAGCAGAACCAGTAGTCATGCAGCAGTTCAGGTGAGCAGTAGAGCATCTGGGAAGCTTCAGGTGAATGGGCAGGTAATATAAACAGTGGAATCAGAACGCCAGAGAGGGTACTGATCTCTCTAAGCATGATAGTAAAGAAGGCCATGTGCCAAAAATGACTGAGTTGTGCACACTCAGCCAAGCTCAAATGGCTAAGTATCTGCTAGTGTGCTTTCTGGCTTTGTCCAGGATAGTATTTAAAACCAAAACCACATTGCTTGCACTCCAGGGCCTTGGTCCAGAAAAGCAAATGGATGCCACTATTTATTCAAGCTAAACAACAAACCCTTTTCAGAATATTCACATTTTTCAGGTTAGTCTTGGACTTTTTTTTTCTTTTCTCCCACTAATTGGTTATCATGGTTTCAAATACCATCTGTATGCTCAGCCCCCAAAATGTGTATTCCCAGCCCAATACTTCCTCTGAGACCCACAGATTTAGATTTCAAATGCCTTCTTGTTTATCTCTTCTTGAACAATTTTCAGGATTCTCAAGCACAACACATTAAAAACAAAAACTTTATATATTTCCTTCCAACATATGCTTCCTCAAGTCTGACAGTGTAAATATCCCTTTGCTCTTTTGGGAACCTATTTCAGAGCTATGTCTGAACATTTGCCTTGATGTCACTCTCCCAATTCACCAGTCAGACCAATGACACCTACCAAACATTATTCTGGGTGTGTCTATGAGGGTGTTTCTCTGTGAGTTTAACATTAGATCTGTAGAGTCAAAAAGGCAGATGGCCCTCCCAAAGGCATGTGGGCCTCATCTAATCAGGGAAAGACCTGAAGAGAATAAAATGGTTAATTCTCCTTAATCGTTCCTTATTCTCCTTATTCTCTTCCTTCCCTTCTAGAACACCCAAAACTAGGACATTCAGAGATCTTCGGTTGTTTTCCTGCCTTCACACCTATGTGGTGTGAAGGCAGGAAACATTTTCTTTTCTTGAATCAAGACTAGAACTCCTACTTTTGGGTCTCCTAGACCCAGCCCCCCGCAGCTTGCTGATCATCCTGCAGATGCTGACACTTGTTTATTCCATGATCACATGAGCCAATTGCTTATAAGCCAATTGCTTATGTCCTCATTTGTGTTTATAAATACATGTCTGAGATCTTACTTCTCTGGAGAAACTTACTCATGCAGACCTGGTATGTTATGTTGTAAAGAATGGTATGCCAGCACAAACCTCTATGTGTTCAGATGTCTCAGAGGATATTCTCCACTGCAATGGGAAGATTATTCTGAAGTTGTGTGTTCTGTTAAGTATTTTTATATCAAAGAAAGTAAAATCTGTAGTTTAAAAGTATATAGCAAGGACTGGGGTATAGCTCTATAGCAAAGCACTTGTCTCATATACATGAACCCAGGTTTCATTCCCAGCAAAACCACCACACACACAAAAAAAGATTATATAACGGCTAGTTATTTGAGTTTTTTTGTTTTTGTTTTTGCCTAACAATGGTGTCCACAAACAGGTATTCATAATGTAGGATGACATTTTGATATCTATGAACAATAATTTAATTTCAGGGATTTGTCCCTTAAACATATGCAAAATAAAGGGGGAAATCAGGTAAAGAATACTAACTAGTTTTTAACCTGAGTATTTTCAACACAAGAAATTTCATAGTTTTCCCTTAAAAGAAAATCTAATTTTGGAACAGACATTTTAATTTCCATGAGTTATTTAACTTTTAAGATGTCCATCAGTAATATTTAACAATTATTTGGTTGCATTAAAGATTTTCCTTCAAAAATACACTACATTTAAAAACCTATTGGAAGGTGAGATCTTAATCTATTATTAACTATTTCGTTAACAAAACCCTTTAACTCTTTCCTGCACACACAGACCAAAACTACTTTGTGGTGAGATCAACGGCTAGATTTCACTGTTTTGATTCACATTACTTCAGATGGGCTTCACTGGTTTAAAGAACTGACTATTTTTTAAACTGTTGGAAACTTCATCTAACTTTTTAACGGATGAACTCTTAAATCAAAAAAGATTGATTATAAAACAAGAAAAACAAAAAGAAATTTTTAAGTGGACTAATGTTTGAGTATTGTAAAGCTGTGTTAAATGAGATTAAGAATAAGCTCTCCAAAGCCCAGAACTCTTCCCAGCACTTTAATGTCATAAAGTTTCTGGTGTCCCTCACAGACTGATGGGTTGGGCACACTTTCCAATTCTTGCTACCCAATCCCTTCCTGCTTTTTTCTAGGTGCCTTTGATGCCTTTCCACAGAGGACAAGTAAGTTATAAACATGCTTAAATCTGTAGAGTAATTATACTTAATATTATTCCTATAAAGCTTTGAAGTAAAGTTTACCAATATAAATAGAAATTTCATAAGCATATGCAACTCAGTAGATTTAATTGTCTTGCATTTCAACAATAATGTCTATGAATTCTGAAGATTATAATTTTTCATCTACAACCAAGCATTTCCTTTGTATTTTTGCCATAAGTAGGTAACAAAATCTATAAGGAAGGAAAATGCTCCCTTTTCACCTAACTGTCCCAATCAAAACCCTTAGAATTCCTGATTCTATGAAGACTCAAAGCAACTTCTGTCCATTTTGGGGTGGGGGAGTCTACAAGAAATTATCCAAGTGTGGAAAATAGAATTTGGCTGGATATATAGTATGAAATCCATTTCCTACAGTACTAATTTACCTTGACATCATTCAATTCTACTCAAATAGTTCATTTTTTTTAATGCTACCAAATTTTCTTCATTGAATACTTATTATGTACCAGGTCAACTGCATTTCAGATACTATTTGTCTTGTTTTGTTTTTTTCAGTGCTGGGTACTAAACACAGGGTATACTACATGTTAGACAAGCTGTCTACTACTAAGCTACATCCCCAGATGTGGAATACACTTCATTCCAAATTCTTACATATTGAATACTTCACGTAGGTTAATTCTGCATTCTCAAACCGGCCTCTGGAAGTAAATACAGAAACATTCACTAGATGTTTCTTATATAATACTAGTTTTATAATTAGAAAATGCATATGCACTATTTGTGTGTACATAGTATAGAAGTACCTAACTTTCCACTGCATCAGAATGGAGTGAGCAGGTCTGGAGATAGAGCAGATTGTAGCACTGTCCTCCACTGAGCAGAGTGAAAGAGATTTTCACTTGTTCCAGCACAGTGAGTCATACAATGCTTAGCCTCCTAACATTCACAAGATATAAGCACATGCAGGACACACAAAAGCAGCGCAGTGGAAAAATTTTCTATGGACGTCTGCAAAGCTGAAGTTACAGCATTCTCTCCCTAAGTGCATTTATGAAGTACAGTCATATCCTAATTTCACATATGAAGAAAAACTTCCTTTGCAGAGTTAATTCTTCAATAACTTATACATAACCAAGTGATATAAAGAAAGGAAGAAAATGTACTTATTGCTACAGTATTTGAAAACTTGATTATATATAATATAATACCTAAAAAAAATACATTGGCAAGTCATAGTCAAGACTGGCTTTCCTACACTAAGCAGTTGTTTATCATGCAGTACTATTTTCCTATTTCTCATTAAATTCCATGAGTCAGGATAACCAGCCAATAGAAACAGTGATCTAGGTATCTAGTGAGTTTAAAAGAGCTAAAAGGCAGAGAGAAATTAATTATACAAAGAGAGGAAAAAATTTCCAGAGCACAGTTGTTTTTCTTTAATATCAGTGTGAATTTATGTTCATGGCCAAAAGAGATGGACAGATCTCAGAGTATCAAAATCCCAACTTTTCACTGAGAGGAAGGGTCTTACACTACACCAAGACAGTTTGTACCAAAAGCCAAAAGTTTTTAGCCTTGTACACACTTTGTGTGCTGCCAAGTCCAATTGCCCTCATATTCAAAATACCACCACATTTTTCAGAGCTTTACCTAAAAACAAGAAACAGAGCTACCTTATTGTATAGGTAGGCCCTGGGAGTGGCTAGGGGAAAGAGGTTGAAGGCTACACTCCAAACTTTCATGGAACATTTGGCATGAGTATGAATGTGATGAGTCTGATTCCACATGCAACATAGGCTTACTCATTACTTTATGTGCATATTTTACTCTACCAGTTAGATATTTCTCTACATCCTAAAAAAAGGTATCATAAATCAGAAATATCCTATGCATTTAAAGCCAGGTGCCTGTGGTTCACACCTGTAATCCTAACTACTGAGGAAGCTGAAATCTGATGATTGTGGTTCTAAGCCAGCCCAGCAAGGAAAGTCTGTGAGACACTTGTCTCCAATTAATCACCAGAAAACTGCAAGTGGGGCTGTGGCTCAGTGGTACAGCACTAGCCTTGAGCAATAAAGCTCAGGGATAGCACTCAAGTCCAGAGTTCAAGCCCACGACTGACCAAAAAAGCACTTAAAACCCCACTTATGTGTAACTTTGAAACATAGCTCATTGCAGTATTCATTGTTGTCCCTTGAGATCTGCAAGTTGTGTTCATTTTAGCTATTGTCATCTGAGGGCTGATACCCAGCATCTCAAGAGATGATGGTATCATATATGGCTAACCTGAGAAATGATCAAGATTTAAAGTACATTTTTACAGAATGTAGATCATTTTCCACCACTATGAAGTTAAACTGTCAGTAAATTGGGGACATCTCTAAATTATTACCAAGGTACTCAACAAAACTGCTGCATATTGAAATAGAAGATTAGATTACCTGATCTTTAAATTCTTTCCCACCAAGAGGTCTCATTCATCTAGATCACTTCAGACCCATGCACAAACTACAAATTTTTTGTGCCTGTTTTATCATTTGCTCATAGTCTACCACAAAATAACATCATCCACAGCTTGTCCTAATGGCATGACGTTCAACTCTGAGTCCCTAGAAACACATCAGTTTCCCTTTCTCTTTACTTGTCCATTTCATGTCACCATGCAACTACCTGTTGAGATAACCTTATGTTATTACTGATGAGACCCCCCCTCCCCAAAACAACAAGCAATTTGCTCATGGTCACAGATATAAAGTATTAGGACTTTGTAATGCTTTTAACTGATCTTAAGACATATGAACATGCTATGTATATTGGACCTCAAATTTGAAAAAAAAATTGGTTCAAAATCTAAAAATGTCAAGACTAGAAATTCACGGTGACTTAGCTCCATCTATAGTAGAAACTGTACACATACCTCACTGAAAAGGCTTCCATTAACATATGAGATCCAGAGTTTCCAGAAGTTAGGCAACTGACTTAAAACAAGCTTGGTTAATTTTTCAACAAATGCCACTCTATGGGGAGTTTTGTATCTCCATGCTATGGAAGAGAAGAACAAAATACCTGAGAATACACTCTGAATCAAGAATATAGATCTATTTGTACATATTACCCCTATAACCCTGGCCCCAAACCAAAATATTCAGATGTAGCCTTGATATCTGGCCGGCACACACAATGGCCACTCTGACTGGGGAGATGCAGCAGTACTGTATTTCTCACTTAGCATCCTGAGCACAGTAGAACCCAGAGGACCCTCAGCATTTTTCCCTCTGATAAAGAAGTGATCCTATTAGTATCATGGCTGGCAAGTTCTAGACTTATTTACTAGGAAGTTAAAGTAAAAGCAATCTAGGCATGTATCTTCTACATACAGATGCCTATATAGGCACATATATCTTCTACATATAGGTACCTATGTAGGTAGCTGTATCTGTACGTATCTCTATTCTATACATACACACACACACACACACACACACACACACACACACACACACACATACACACACACACACACTCTACAAATAAGTCTCTGAGTAGTCTAATGTGAAGATTAATCTCTAGCATAAAAGATAAACAGAATTCTGACGTCGTTGATTTAAGAAAAGTTCCTCAGCTGGGCACTAGTGGATCACACTTGTAATCCTAGCAATTCAGGAGGCTGAGATCTGAAGAGCACACTTTAAAGCCAGCCTGGGCAGAAAAGTCCATGAGACTTTTATCTCCAATTAATCAGCAAAAAGCCAGATGTGAAGGTGTAACTCAAGTGGTGGAGTGTTAGCCTTCAGAGAAAAAGCAATTCAGAATGTGAAGCTCTGAGTTCAAGGCTTAGTACTAGCACACACACACAAAGAACTACTTCTTTAAAAACAGAAAATAAACAAATAGAAAGTTAACTTCAGATTGAAGTGATTATATAAGGATGAGTATTTAAACAACTGTACATAAAAATATAGCAAATCAACTCCAAAAGATTGCTTGCTTTGGTAGATTAACCAGTAAAAGTATTGTCTGAGTTCACCCTAGTAAGGGATATTAATATAGCTGTTATAGAGTGTTGTCAGATAATCCTCTTGTGCTGGAATTTCTGTAAATAATTAGTATGTGTCCATTCATTAGATAAGTTTGCTGGAAAATAGCTGGGCTCCTACAGCCTCCTGATCAGTGACATAACTTTTCTTAGGATTGTGTTCTATTAGATATTTTTATTATCTGAAAATTCTTCTTCATAGCAAGTATGAATGTAATAGAGTCCTTTTTAGTTCATCTTTGCTAAACAAATCCAAATTCTGATATGAAAGTTGAAAAATGGATTTGGATTTTCCTTTCTTAGAAAATCTAACATATTGTTAGTGCTGACAAAATCTCAAGAGTAATTTCCTAAAAATGGAAAGAGGAGTAAAGGGGGTATGGCAGGAATGTCTATTTTGTATAACAGAAATTACAAAGTTTATGGATTTTGTTTTAATAATAAAGATGTATGTTTCTATTTCAAATAACTTTGGAGAAATTAAATTTGATTCATCTGAGTTGCAGTTCTAGCCACACACTGCATTAACGTGAACTGGACCTCAATCTAGCCATCAATGACTACAAAACTGTTTTCACAGCCAGGCAGCAGGCAACATGGGCCTGAGATCCTTGAGGTGGGGAAGACATGTGCAAGAGCTGCACTGTTGGATAGTTTCTAATTATGAAAAAATGATAATGGCTGCTAATTTTTGACACCATTAACATCCCTAGTCATAGAATTTTGCAAGAGGGAAGATTTTTTAAATCACAAGCCTACAAATCAAAAACAAAACAAGGAGAAGGAGTAGCTAGGGGTGGTGTGATACTCACTGTCATCTCGACTAGACTGAAAGCTGCTGCCCCTCTTTAGTGATGCCGTCTGACTGAGATGGCCCAACATGGAGGGACGTACCTCATTATCAAGATCCAACATGGGACTATGCAGGCTTGGGTTTCCTGGAAAAGAAGTGATATTCCCACATATTTTATAATATACTTTTATTTTGCTGATTTAATGCACTAATTCTCTGAGGCTTTTTCTTGCTCAATTCTTCTACTCTTTTAAACAAAGTAATCATAAAGTAAAATCTAAAACTTTTCCTCTACAATCTTATATTCCATTCTACTTTATTTTTGCATGGTGCTAGGCTGGAGTTCTAACATGGACAATCCTAAATAACTTCTAAGTTATTTCCCATAACAAACTTGAAGGACTCAATCCATAAATTCCACATAGAACTGATGCATCATTTCAGAGTTAAAATAGGAGGTAAAATCATTTAAAATACAACTTGTCACTTGAAAAGAATTCCACAGTTTCACTTTTCTGTTTCATTTAATGTAGTAGACATTTTTATAGCATAAATCTTCTAATTCCTTCCTTAATGCTACAACTTACATTTAAATACTGTTTCCTTCTTTGGGATGTGGAATTTGATTCTATATTTCTATTCCTGAAGCCAGCTACCTAGACACTTTTCACCTTACAATGTTACTATTCCAACATTCTACCAGTGTCAAAATATTCTCTTTGGGATCCTGTGTTAATCACACATTAAAATACTGCTTTCTAGCTAGGTGTGGTGATGCATACCTGTAATCCCAGCACTCAAGAGGACTGTGAATTCAAAGACATCATGAATTATATAGCAGGATTCTGCCTCAAATAAATTCATAAATAAGTATATACACAGATAAATTTATGAAGCAAATGAAATATTGCCTTCTTGCCTCTCTTCTCAGAAGTCCTCCAAAAAACCCTCAAGATACAGTATATACCAGTGTTTTCCAATCAAATTATCCTGAGAATCTAAAAATCATTTTTCTAAAATGGGCTTCAAGAACTATGAGGAATGAAAATACTATGCACCAATGGGGTTTATAAGAACATTGGCTTTAAGTAGAAAGATTTTGCTTTGTTCATCTACACAGGAGCCTGCAAAATCCATGCTAACCTTTAGTTGAGCATTTGAAGATCTTCAAAACAAATTGAATTCAACAAACATTTGCAGAATTTTACTATGAAAAAACAAAATGCTTAAATAGGGATACAGGTTGACCCATTGTAACAATGAGATGTACAAGACACTATGTTGAAAAATGAACTTTACAATTTAGGCAGGGAGAGGAGGGGGGGAGTGTAGTTGTGGAGGTGGGAAGGAAGGGAAGGTAGGGGAAAACCGAAGGAGGAGGTAACAATGCTTGATAGGAAATGTACTCATTACCTTGCTCATGTAACTAACCCCTTTGTACAGGATTTTTACAATAAAAAATGTATTTAAAAAAAGAAGATGAAAAGACACACAAAATTCCCCCTACAAAAACAAAGCCAATCAACTAACAAACAATGGACTATACTACAAAAAAAAGTAATATAAAGACGGTATAGTGTTGTATATCTGCTGCCCAGCTACTTAAACGGCTGCAAGGAAGGAGGATAATTTGCACTGAGGAATATGAAGCTAGACTGGGTAACAGACACATTTCAAACAAAAACAAGTATACTTAAGGTTCTGGGACCAAGTCCTAGAACTGAGGAAAAAAATTCGTATTTACTATAATAATATTTTCTTTTTTTTTTTTTTGGTCGGTCGTGGGGCTTGAACTCTGGGCCTAGGCGCTGTCCCTCAGCTCTTCAGCTCAAGGTGAGCGCTCTACCACTTGAGCTATAGCGCCACTTCTGGTTTTCTGGTGGTTTATTGGAGATAGGAGTCTCACGGTCTCTCTTGCCCGGGCTGGCTTTGAACCGCAATCCTCAGATCTCAGCCTTCTGAGTAGCTAGGATTACAGGCGTGAGCCACCAGCGCCCAGCTTGTAATAATATTTTCTTGTCTTATTTGCTATCTTCTCCACATGCAAGACTCATTGTTCATCAACTTTAACATTTTTGCTTAAAGACTGAACTTAAATTATTCTTTCTTTATAGACATCTCTTACTGTTCAGTGCTACCTATCTCCTCTGCTTTGACAGTGGTCAGAGCCAGCTTCAACTTCATTGACAAATCACTTACTGCTTATCCCCAAAATACATCACTGTCCTCTTGGGGATGAGAACTAAATGTTATTATCACTGTGTTCCCCACCATCACTGGACAATCCCCAGATTTCTTAAAATGAGGAATAACTATATTCCCTCCAATTTTACATTTTAACAGAATTTTTAAGCTCATAGGTTTATTTTCATGTGCTAAAGTAAAACACATTTGTAAGTGAATAATTTAATATTTTAATCAAGCTATCCCTTTATTTTAGTAAGAGAATAATATGATTTTGTTTATTATAATAATAGCTACTCAATAACAATAACTGAGCATATTACATGTGCCAGAATACGTAGAACCTATAGATAAAGTAATGAATAACTGATGAGGCCCTTATTCTCAAGGACGTTACATTCTCATGGCAGAGGTAGAAAATAAATGAATACGAAAACAATAAAGACAAAGTACAACGTATTATGCAGAGAACCTGGGGAGTGGATATGATGGAATTGAGTAACTAGGTAGTCAGGAAGGCTTGGTTTCGTAGGACCCTACTATCATGGGCCACCTCACATGGTACAGTATTAGCACAATTCTACCCACTATGCTTTATAGAAATAGAAATTCGGTCATTTGGAAATATTTTTTAACTGTTTTGAAGACTATGTTCTAACCAGAGTGCTAAATGCTGTATGTGCATATCTGAGATGATAAGATTTATATAATATAAAATGCTAAAACAAAAATTAAGTCACATGTATTGCAGGGTAAACAATACAGGCAGTGAGAAAACAATATATTTATAACTAATTCTATATTAACTACAGAGTTCGTATGTGGAAAATTTAATGATGGATATTTTTCTTTGATGTTTATGCCATTTCAATATTAATTCAGGCAGGAAGCTAATATTAAAAATAAATTTTGTGATGTAAGAGAAACACAAAGGGGCTTACACTTAAAATCACATTTTAAAAATATATAAAAGAATTCATAATTTATACAAACATGTATAACAAATGTAAGAAAAGAATGTTAACATGTTAAAACAATTCCTGTCAGAAGAGAAGGTATTAACTGGAGGGGGAGGACAAATGGATGGGTGAAAGAAGGTGAATATGGTCAAAATACTTCATATATATACGTGAAAATGGAACATGAAGCTTGGTAAGACTAGTTTGTGAAGGGAGGGGTGAAATGAGAGTGACAGAGGGGGTGAATTTATTGAAGATACACTGTATACATACATGATGTCAAAATGGCCTAATAAAAAGTGTGGCTAAAACTGGAAAAAAAAGTATTACAAGTTGCTTCTGCAGGTTTCAGGACTAAAAGTCTGATAAAGAAGAAAGTACTTACTACATTCCATTCTTCTAAATAATGCAATTACTATTGCTTAAGCATATCCTCAGAAAATTATGTCTATCCAGAACTACTATTTGACAACTTTAAGTGGTTTAATATTTAAATTAATCATTTATGTATTTTAAGCAAGTCTTTTATGTACATTAAGCAAAACTCTTTTACTAATAAAAGCTATATGAGAAATATGCTTTTGTTCATTAGAAACCACATCTCAGTCCCTTGTGAAATCAGGAAAAGAAAAGCTAAACAGGAAATCATTCCTTAACTGCAAGTCTATCAGCAGCAGTGGCAAACAACAGACAGAAGGAAGCTAGAATGGCACGAGAAGCAAGTCAATGGGCATCTGAAACACATTCTGAACTTAATGGCCAGAAGGTGGCACTGCAACACTGCATATAAATACATGAACCCTACAAGTGATGTAAGTACTAACCTAGAAAGAAATTCACTTCTCTCCACAACATTTTGCTCCTTTTTCTATCCAAAAAAGGTCTTACAATATACTATTTTACAAGCAATGAGAGTTATTCTTTGGACAGAAAATCTATGCAAACATTTAAATATCAGTTGTCACAAAACATTTACATTCAAGTATAAAAAACAAAATCAAAATCGTCCAAGGATTCTGACCATCAAACTTCAATTACATGATTTGATTTTTTTGTGCCACCCTGGGGCTTGAACTCGGGGTCTAGGTGATGTCTTTGAACTTTTTTCACTCAAGGCTAGTGCTTTACCACTTGAGCCACATAATTTCAGGCATTTTGGGGGCAGGGAATAGTTTATTAGAGATAAGAGTCTTAGAGCCTTTCCTGTAGTCTGCAGATCTCGCCTACTGAATAGCTAGGGATGATCTGATTATTCCACTAAGCTATTACAAATATGAAACTATTTTAACAATTAGTATTAAGAAGAAAAATGACTTATAAATTACAATATCAGCAAAAAGCTTTAAAATATTTCATAAGAATCAGCCTATTTTTCTATCTCAGGGTATATTTAGGAGAAATATATATATACTCAATAAAGCATTTGGTTATAAATGGTTATATATAACTAATAGGAAATGTTCCTTATATCATGCTTTCATGATGTATATATCATCTGCAAGTGAAATGATGTCTTGGTGGATTTTTGCTGAAAACTGAGGGTAACAGTCAACTATATCCACACAACTGTGGTGTGTTAGCTTTGCGAGGAACATTAGTAGGCAACAGAGAATAAAGCTGTGTTTGACTGTTTTTTGACTGCATTAATACAAAATTTGACAGGTTATTTGTTTTCTCAGTAGTAAGTTTTCTCTAGAAATAAAATCTCCCTATGACTTTGTTTTGGGGGAGAGGGCAGTAGAAAAAAGCCATGTTTGTTTTGTTCTGAGTGTTGGGAGATCAAGTTCTGGTCTCACACTAACATTGGGCTATATCCCTAGCATTATAGAACACACACACACACACACACACACACACACACACACACACACACACACTTCTGTCAATGAGAAGTATAAAGGGTAAGGAAAAGTAACAGGAACAGGCTAAGTTTAAACAAAGTACGTAATATGCATGTATATCAATACTATAAGGAAACCCTTCTATATAACTAATTTATGCT